CTGGCTTTTTCTATAATGTGGAGCTGAAGCAAAACTTGTTAGGTGTATTTACAAGGTTGCTCCATCCCGTGCCCAGTCAATCCAAGCCTACCAAAATAACTTGGAGATAGGCACCCAAATCTGGCTTAAATTTTACCTGAAGTAGCTGGTAGCATTGCTGTGAGATTTGAGGTTCATTTGCCTTTCACTCTTGTTTTACACTATTGCAGTGCCTTTATGGGAAGGATGATGAACAAACTTGTGTCTTTCAATAAGATATTTCCCCTTCCCAAAAGGACAGCCCAATGCAGGCCTTAGACTACACATTGTGTGTGGCCATGACGTAAAATGGCATCATGAAAGGATTTGAGGCCAGCTCCTGTTCTATCGGGACCCTTCTGTTTTCTGCCTCATTCTTGGGTTAGAGAGAAAGGGAACTCTACTTGTTATTGCCAATTTGCTGTTTTCCCCCCTTCTTACCCACAATTCCCCTATCCTTCTATAGATTGAAAGGATCCAAAATCCTTACTACTGGCAGGCATACCAAATCAAAAAGCAGGAAATGGATGCCAAAAATGGCCATACAAATAATGAACGGCAACTTTTTCATGGAACAGCTAGTACATCATTAACCCTCATAAATAACTCTGGGTTTAATCGGAGTTATGCTGGAATGCATGGTAAGTTGGTGAACTCAACGTTGCCTGTAGGCATTTGGTTTGGAATTGTGACTGTGAATTTGAATATGTCAAATACTTTTTGAAAAGGGGGCGGGGGGAACCTTTCATTTTAGGTACTTCTCTGAAGCATTAAACAACCGAAATACTTTTCCAAAATCATCTTTGGTAAGAACAGTTAAAAGATCTGCCTGAAGGCATTCAGTCAACAAAGCTGGCACATTCTAGCTTTGGGAACGTGCCGTGAACATTGGATTTATACTATTAATAATAATAATCATCATCATTTTATTTATTATCCACCTCTCCTCACAGCTCGAGGTGGGTTAAAAGATTGCTAAAGCACATAATCACATAATCCTTTAAAAACCCTCCATAGAGTACACATATTAAAACATATTTCCATAAAATACATGTTAAAATACCCAAAACAAAAGTTAGGCATAGAGTGGAAATTTAAAATGCCTATGGATGATCTCTCCCAACAGCTTTATGTAAATATTAAAAAGCATTGGGGATAGAATGGCAAAGGGTATCATTGGAGTTTCATCCCCCAGATGTTTTGGTTTGCAGTGCCCATCTGCCCCACTCAACACTACCCAAAGAAACTGGGATAATAACCCAAAGTAGCAAGAGGATTGTGTTGCTGGAGTTTGAACATGAAGAAAACTCAAAATCTTGGATCTTGATCTTGATCATCTTGGATTATTTAAAGTGGGTTATTTAGTAAAAAAAATAAATAAGAGGAAAGCACACCCATTGATATTGGATAGATTAGGAGAGAAAATTGCTATGTGAATATTGTTGAATTCCCAGCTCACATTATCTTTGACTAATGTTGATTTTTGAAGGGCTAAAGGTTGCCCCTCTCTACCAAGGTTAGCAAAGTTCAGTAGGCAGAGATATAATGCCATGGGACAGAAAGAAACCTGAATATTATGTTTCTGATAAGATATTCCCTTTACTTCAAAATAATAATGAAACTGTGCTTGGTGCTGATTGGTGTTGCAGGAGTTAATAGCTTAAGAAGTGAAGAATCAAGGGACTTGATGATAATTGGCTGTCTAAACTTTTTATTTTTATTTTTATAGCTGCAGTGTATGGAAATGGAACCTATTTTGCTGTTGATGCCAGCTATTCTGCCCATGATACCTATTCAAAACCTGATGCAAATGGGAGAAAATACATGTACTTTGCTAGAGTACTTATTGGAGACTATTGTGTTGGAGTTCAAGGATTACTTGTTCCACAGGCAAGGAGCACAACAGATCCCACAGATCTCTTTGATAGTGTCACAGATAATATGAAGAAGCCAACCTTGTTCGTCATCTTCAATGATATCCAAGCTTATCCAGAGTATCTCATTACTTTTAAAAAATAAACATGTATTTTCCCTTAATAATCTTTCACTGTTACATATTCAGTAATTATATCAGGCACATATATATTGCTAAATAAATCAAATTCCATTTGGATCATTCTCCTTTTACTGAAATTCCCTTTATTTATCAGAAAGGAGATCACTGTAATGGGAGATTTGATGAAAATGAGTCCAGTAGATATAAGTGTCCTTTATGAGCAATGTTCGAGAAGAGGTAGAAGTCAAGGGCCTTCCTTAAATAGCAACTATAACAACAATGAAAGTGAAGTATATATGGAGAAAACAAGGATGAGCAGATATTGGGGGGAAGAGCCAGTGTTGTAAATTGATTTGCAGCATCAGACTGAGATTTGGGAGATCCAGGTTAAAGTCCCTGCTCTCCATGAAACTGGATGGGATGGTGATACATTCTCACTTGTGTTTCTCAGACAAGTTTGTTTTAGAGCTAAAGCAGAGCATAGAAAAGCTGTGTGTGTGTGTGTGTGTGTGTGTGTGTGTGTGTGTGTGTGTAGCTTGAGGTCTTTGGAAGGGATATGATACGTAAGTATTTTAAACAGCTGTATGTTGACCATAAGCCAAGCTGGGAAGAAAAACTATTAATGATTTAAAAACCATCTCAGCCCAGCATGCAGTAAAAGCAGTAGAAATGTAAGCTGGGTTTGTTAGGCCTACTTCAAGGCCCTCAACACAGTCCCCTCTATGCCTGTGTCCAATTTCATTGATGGGGGTTTCACAGCAAATTGCTTAGGCAACTCTGCCATCCACAAATCCCAGTTGGTTGCCTCCACTGAGAGGATGTTGCTGGTATGTTCTTGTTTTGACTCCCCTTTTCCATCTTGGTTGAAGCTATCTAATTGGCAATCCACAGCAAGGATGCTCTGCTATAAGAATCTGCCTGTCCATTGAACCAAAGCCATGCTTTTATTTCTTGAATGCCTTGTGCTGTCTTGTTCCTGGAACTCTTGCCACAGTTCTCTGGAATAGGCTTAATACTGATAAGAGTAGTTATGTGCTAAACACACCGAGAAACGAATGCCTTTTAATTTTCGCAGAGTATTAACAAAGAGGGGAGACAAATGAGGCAAATGCATTGTCCCTTTCTCTTCCTACTTATACAACTTTATTAAGCCAACCAATTGTAGAGAATACAAGATTCCTAAAAGTACAAAAGCTTCATTTGTTTGTTGTTCAGAATCTGTGATTATTTTGTTTTTCAAAGCACCCGACAGCTATTGTGCCTTAAATAAAATTATCTTGTTCTCCGACTGGCTGTTTGTCTTTCTTCGTAACCAGGAGGGAAATTGTCACATTGCCACCACAAATACATTGTCTGAAACCAATCTCTGATTATCAATGGACTCAGAGGTCAAGTGCATATACAAACAAGAACAATTATTTACACAAGTTTAACACAACAGATTATTTATTACATTTAAAGCACCACAAGTCCCTTGTTGTAGTAGAGTCTGTTGGTAACGCTGCAACTGGTAGTAGGAGTGGTAGAGGAGGGAAACGAGGCGCCCAGGTGTTAGATGAGGAACAGCAAAGGAAGAGGATCCGGGAAATATTTATGTCACCCACTGATGAAGAATCCTTTGAAGATTTCTCCGAGAGTGAAATGAGTGAGGAGGAGGAAGGAGATTCAGATGGGAATGGAGGCACTAAGAGGATTACTCGAGAGCAGGAGTCATACGAGGAGTGTCAGAGAAAGAAGATCTGGGACATACTGCTCCCACAGAGGAAGAGGATTTCATGGGTTTTTCTGGGAATGATGGGTCTGGGAGTGATGGGGATGAAGAAGAACCACTGGATTGGACCAAGGTACAGGAGGTTCAGAATGTATGTACTCAACCAATGTCCAGTGACACTTTTGCGGGGTTTTCTGGTGGTGGGGATTGGCAATCTGGTGATACTGTGGAATCATGGGGAGACCTAAGTCTTCACAAGAGGTGGAAGAGTTGGAGGATAGGCGTTGGCATTCAACTGTAGAAGCTAAGTCAGCTGATAGTAATGAGGATGGGGTGGAGGGCAGCTCATCATCGGATGATGAGCTGTAGGATAAATGAAGGCACTGGAATAATTGAACTTTGCAGTAGGCAAAGTGTTGGTTTCGTGCCTTGGGTCTTGTTGCTGCTGCTTTCCTGTTGGGCTTGGGTCCTGGATCTGCAGGTTGCTGTTTGCTTCGTGTACCAACCGGCTTGGATTCTTGTAAGTGCGGGTTTCACCTCTCCTTGACTTCGGACTGTTTTTGATGACGACACTGCTTCTTGGACTTTGGAACTTTCAACTGGGATTTCTTTGACTTTGAACTGCTACTAGACGACGGTTTCTCTTCAAGGCACTTTGTTTATTTTCTTTGAACTGTGTGATTTTTTTAAATAAATTTTTATTTAATTTTATAATTACAGCGAAAGTGGGGGAATAATCCAAGAAGATAGAAAAGTAGGAAAATTAAGAAGATAGTACCCATAACCCCCGTGTGAAAAAAATAAAAAAAATAAAAAATACCTAGAATAAAAAATAAAATCAAATAACAGCAAAAAATCACACACACAAAAAAGATAAAAATAAAAATTTTACTTCCTTCTGATACTGCCCGTTCAGCCATCCCTTAAATCCATGTCTTAAATTTAATCCAGTTTGCATCTTGATTATATCCTCAGTACTGTTATAAGTTCTTATAATTGGTTTCCATATAATCGTCAATTGTTGACCAATTAGTCTGTTTAATTGGATTGCCTGTATTCTTTTTTAATAAAAAAGTTAACTTGTCCATATCCTTAATTTCATTCACCTTATTTATCCAAAGGAGTTTATCTGGTATTTCTTTCAGTTTCCAAAGTTTCGCAAAGACAATTCTAGCGGCTGTTGTCATGTATGTAAACAGAATATCCTCATTCGAATCTAATTTTATATCAGCATCTATAATTCTCAATAGGTAATATTCTGCTTTTCTTGGAAATTTTTTTTATTAAGGATTTTCTGCATTTTGTCATGGATATCTTTCCAATACTTCTGAGATTCTCCACAGCTTCACCATAAGTGGAAAAAGCTGCCTTCATGCTCATTACATTTCCAACATGATTTTGATACATCCTTATACATATGATTTAGTTTAACTGGGGTCATGTACCACCTATGAAACATTTTCATACAATTCTCCTTTAAATCCGTTGCATAGATGTATTTTGATGTGTTTTGGAAGAGCTCTTTTTTAATACGGGTTTTTTGCCAGTTTAATTTGGTTTATTTTCTGAGTTCATTTTTCAAGCTAGAAATTGCTACAAACTTTGAGTTTTGTCCAGAGGCACTGAAGCAAGTGTCTCTGAGTCCTGTTTACTTTGCTTTAATAAACAATAGTTTTGGACATACTCCTGTGTCACTCTTTAAGGCATCTGGGTTCCGACATCCCTTCTCCCACTCCTCTCAAACCTCTAACCTAAACTACTTTCACGGCAGCCTTCCACAGTACCATGGTTTTTTCTTCCATAACTGTTTAATGTAGTGTATCACTCTGCCCGCTCTGAATCCAACCCAGTGTGGAATTGGTTGCCACAGGACAGCCACTGAATTTGATGGTATTGACGGGATAGACAACAATGACAGTTGCCTAGGACAGTTACTGGGTTTGATGATGTTGACGGGATGGACAATAGCGGTTAATGAAATATCACTTCTCTGTGTAGAGGTCATTTAATCTTGAATATGAGTTGATGGGGTGCAAACAAGATGATAAGGCTGTTGACATTACACTCCACTTGTGGTCTTCCCAAAGGTATGCTGGGATGCTAATTTGACCCATAGTATGGGCAAACAGAGCTCTATGTACTTAACACTTCTTTGTTTCCTCCCTCAGTTTTACTAGCATCAAGGAAATTGCATTTTATTTTAGAGCATTTTTTCTGTATTGATTTCATCCTGTCCTGAATTGCCTCACTTGGAAACTGGGATGGCACAGTCTTGAATGCAGAATTAAGACTCGTTGATGTATTGTCAAAGGCTTTCATGGCTAGAATCATTGGGTTGTGAGTTTCCCGAGCTGTATGGCCATGTTCCAGAAGCATTCTCTCCTGATGTTTCGCCTGCATCTATGGCAGGCATCCTCACAAGCTTTGCAGCTTCTAAAGATAGACCCTCGGAGTTGTTTAGAGCGGTGCAGGGTTTATTGAATCCAAAAGTAGAAGATCATGTGTTTCACTCGAATGCACACTGCGAGGCATTTACCCACCACTTTGCCTCCAAGATCAGTGGGATTTGTGCTGATTTGAACACCACCTTTGTTACAACTCCCGTGGATGTAGACATAGCATTGCCTGGTCCTGTTCTTATGGATTCTTTTCAACTTGTCTTACAGAGGATGCTGACAGAATCCTGGGAGAAGTTAGGGCCACCTCCTGCATTCTTGACCCTTGTTCCTCTTACTAATAAAACCAGCCAGGGGAACATGCTTTGGATAATGGAGTTGATTAATGCCTCGCTTCACCAAGACAATATCTCCACAGCACTTAAAGAAGCTGTGGTGAGACCATTGCTCAAAAA